AGACTACTTGTTTATGTTTTAAAATGGCTTACAGTATTGTGCAAAAGTAATGAGAGTGACTTTCGTTCTTTGTCTCCGTGAACTTTCGAAGAAAGTTTGTGCGAAAATTCAAGCGTCTCTTCGCAATGTCTTGAGCATTATTTCTTTAACACAAAGGACGAAAATTCACGGCATTTTCAAGACTAGAACGACAATTCCTTACCAGAGGGATAATTCCGCTTGCAGTATGCGAAATACCGCAGTACGGAGCGCTGACCAGTATCGAGCCATCAATGTATCGTTCTCTTGTGAACAATCGTGGTCACGTTAAAATTTGCTGTTGTTAATGTGTTAATCCGTCTTTCATGGCGAAGAATGTAGAGAATTTGAATCCTTTGATCGTTTTCAATGACACAAACTCGCTAACTTAACTGCAAGCCAGGAACAAAAGTCGGACCACTAGTCCAGGTAAACTTGGACGAAAGTGAAATTCTTAATAAGGTCTTTTTGAAGGCCTGCTTCACCTCAAAATTCATCCAAAAAAGTCTGCATACAAGCCTAAGTGGCCCATCAGGCCGGAGCTTATCCCAGTTTTCGTAGCATGAAGTGACTAGGAGTATTTCTACTCCTCCCTGGATGAGATGCTAGTCCATCGCAGGGTTACCCCAAGCACTAAGTTTGCCGGTACCCATTTATACACCTGGGTGGAGAGAGGCACTGTGAGAGTAAAGTGCCTTGCCCAAGAACACAACACAATGGCCCTGGCCAGGGCTCGAACCTGGACCGCTCGATCCGGAGACAAGCGCACTAACCATGAGGCCACCGTGCCTCCCTAAAAAATTCATCCAAAGTGACATCAAATTCAGTGATCGATGGACAAGCAGACATCTTGTTTACCTAGTGCCAGGTCTCCACTTGGCCAGTCCCCTCAGCTGTTATCACATTCGCCACGTTCTTGTCCACCTGCCATGATGGATAGTATATTATTCGCAACAATTCCTCTTTATTTCACCCTTGTAAATAAGAGATGGAGACATGCGACTGCACTTGAGCATGTTGGAAGCGCTAAGAAACGGGATTAGGGAAGGAAAAGTGCAGAGATGTTCGGATGGCAAGTGCAAAAGGGAGAGACATGACTGCCACGGGCCAAAGGATTCTTACGCAAACTGAGCCGAAATGAGATGCTCTTATTTAAGCTTATACCGTACTTCCACTGTAAGAGACTGGCCTGAATAGTTCGAAAATAGCTTTGAACCTTCGACAGTAACATCGCAAGGTTGCGCAGAGCCTGGGTTCATTGTGGCTGCACCGCGAGTACTTTCGCAAGTAGCATTTCTTGTTCAATAAAAACAGGTTGGCAAACAGGCCATTTGAGCTTGTGGGCTTTGAGACTGTAACAAACAAAGTGATATCAGCTTTCTCTGGACATAAGCAAGGTAAGTTTGTGAGAAAAGGCTTTGAGATATTTTTATCAATCACAATGATATTAACGTTTTTATCACGCAGTCCTTGTTTTGCTCTGGCTTAATTCATCTTACTACTGGGAATTGATGGGAAACTTAAGGAACAGAGCGAATTTTTGCTAGGAAGTTTGAAGGAAAATTCGAGGAGAGCAAATTTTCACTTGAAAAATCAGGCCAAATTATCAGTAGACACAAATTACTGCTCCAAAATTCTTGTCGACTAAAACAATGGTAGCGGGAAAATTTATTGAATTTTCTTCGCACTTTTGAGGTGAACAAAACTTCGCCATTTTTTATCAAAAAGCCCTGAAATTCACGAATTTCATCGAATTACACTCTCATTACTTTTGCACAATACTGTAGATAGGAAAGATGCGATTTTTGTCATAGTACCACTTTAAGATTATTCAAACTCAGAACAGAAGGCCAAACAGTACACAGAAAATCTCACCGCAGAGTAACTCAGATGAAAATTCTCGTTTATCTTGGATTAGCTTAATCTGCCTTTGAAAAAACCTAGCCCAGGAGCTCTGCTTTTAGGCTTGGCTAAATCTATATATTATCACTCTTAACCCTACTCTAACATGTATAATCATGGTTAATTAAAAATATTTTCTCACAAACGGCTAGAAGCCTGAAAAATAATAGACTGACCATGTAAACTGTCTTCTGGATATTGTTCTTCTTCTTCAGGCATTTCTGACTCTTCTTCCCTAAAATCTTCAGTCTCGTCTAGCAATGCTGTCACAGAGATGCTCATTTTACCTGCACTTCTACGTGCTCTTCATATAGTACAAGAAAAAAAAAAAATATATACAATTATTATTTATAGAATTATAGTCTGACAACAACATATTGAGCTACGTTGCCAGATTTTAATTTGAAAGCTAAGAGCTCAGAGCTCAAAAAGTCTACATTTTCAGGGTTTTTCCCCAATGTAAATCTTTCATGAACAAGATCTTTTAGATCTTATAACCGCACTTTTAAAATTGAACTGTTTTGTTAATACTACAGTCAAAATGTAGTGCACATTCCAAAACAATCCTTGATGATTCATTGATTACTGTAAACACATCACTTGATCAACACAAACTGTGTTATTGCACCACCACTCTTAGCCTTTGTGAAATCTATGATGATGTACTAGTCTTAATCTGGAAGTTCTCTCGGGATATGCCCATGAAACGAGTATCACGCTATTAATAATGCTTTCAATAAACAGCTTTCTTCCTGAAAAGTCAAAATTTAATTTGTTTGTGCTTTGAAGTAGTCACATGAGTCACACAATCCGAGGGTTTACGCTACCCACAGCTACTTTTAGAATGGTTGTGTTTTTTCCCCTAGCACTGACTTAAACGCTGCAAGTTCTGGCAAGCTCTTGTTTACATCAGCAAATATTTAATTTTTCTTCAAATCTCTTAACTCACTACAAGGAAACAGCCAAAGAATTCACCTCATTTGCCGAAACCCACAAGAAACACTTGCAAAATTGCAAATAAATTAATGACCGTTGCTTCTGCCAAAATAAGCTTGCAAAGTAAACACGATCTTATTTGTCACGTAGCGAAAGTGAAAGCTGCAACGTCAGTGCATTCCATGGCTGACGTAATACCTTTCTTTAGTGTAATTATTATTCCCTTCAAATCCTTGGGGACGCTTCGATAAAACCAAAAGAAAATATATTTTACACACAATAAAGAAAACAATATCTGTAACATTGTCCGTGTATTAATGTTTCAACAGCTTTTGGCAAATAAACTTCACAGGTTGCATGATTCAAAATTTGGCCAAGAGGAAGTTTGGGTCTTGTCAGCAACAAAACTAAAAAAAAAAAAAAATCCCGTGCAGAGCAAGAACCGTGCTCGGCCCATGGCCACACAGTTGATCAGTCATTTTCACAAAATATATATATATATGGTTGACAAAGCAAAAGACTGCATTATGTAGCTAAATCATTCTTAGCTTGAAAATTTTCCACTTTTAAAAAGAAATATTCTGGAGAAAAGATTGCTTCTCATACAAGAATTAATCAAAAACAAGAAGATCTTTTAGATCTTATGACCACGCTTCTAAAATTTAACTGTTTTCTAAGCACCACAATTTCAACGCAGTGCATATTCCAAAGATTCATTGATTACTGTAGACACCACATCACTTGATCAACACAAACTGCATTACTGCACAATCGCCTTTAGCCTTTGTGAAATCTTAAATTTAATTGTTTTTTTTCTATGAGTTAAGGGCTAGCAAAGTAGTCACACGAGTCACAGAATTCAAGAATTACGTTATCCACAGCTATCTTTAGTACGGTGGTTATTTGCCTATTTGTACCAATGACGTAATCCTTACGCGTTCTGATACGTTCTTTGCTTGGCTTGCAAATATTTGATTTTCCTTCCAAACTTTGAACTCACTTCAATAAAACAGCACGACAATTCACTTCCCTTGTCTAAAAATATGAAAAATACTCGGAAAACTAAAAAGACTGTCGCTCCAGCAAAATAAATTTGCAAAGTAAACGCCATCTTATTTGTCACGTAGCAAAAGTGAAAGGTGCAACATCAGCGCATTCCATGGCTGTCATAAAACCTTTTTTAGCGTATTTATTATTCCCTTCGAATCCAACGCTTTGATAAAACCAAAAGAAAATATATTTTACACATGATAAAGAAAACAATATCCATAACATTGTCAGTGCATTAATGTTTCAACAGCTTTTGGTGAATAAACATCACAGTTTAAATGATTCAAAATTTGGCCGAGAGGAAGTTTGGGTCTGGTCACCGACAAAACTAAAAAATAAATAAACCCCGTGCAGAACATGAACCATGCTTGGCCCATGGCTGTGCGGTTCAAAAAAAAGCAAGTTAACAATCTTTAACCAAACAAACTTGAAACATAGATCAGTAAAAAAATTTCAAGTTAAAAAATCCCTTCAAAGAATATTCATACAAGTAGTAGGTGGTAAATTGAATAGATACCACCAAATTACAAGGACTTAAGCGCGCCTCACCGGCTCAGAAGCTTCGCCAGTAAGCCAGGCTTAAGTACACATAATTTCCCAGTATCTATTCAATTCACCACCTACTACTCGAGTCACACACAGTGCAAAATTCTCATTTGAACATTTTGCGGAATACATGCAAACAGGAATCGAAGAGATGTATGTTGCACACGAGGACGTGGAAGAGAGTGAGGAAAGAGGGAGAGGGAGGTGGTTTATCAGAAAGGCTTTTGGAAAGAGGTTGGGGGAAAATCACACTCCTTCTGTCATGGCAAAAGTTTAGACAACATTTAAACTCAGCTTTCTATATTGATTACAGCTGTGCATATGTAATAGTGAACATCGAAACCAGACTGAAAATGTTTCTTTATAAACAGCAAAGGGGTTCACCTTAGATAAACACTTTTGCTGCAGCAGAAAGATGGTTAAATGATCAGGAGAATAAACGATTGAATATTGATAACATTGAGCGGCCTAACACCAAATAGGTGTTTGTAAAGTTCTCCAACATTGAAGTAAAGATTGCACTTGACAATCAACCAATGTTAGGCACAGGGCTGTTGCCAGACTGGCTTTGTAACCTTGCACAGGGCATGCGTCAAAAATGGTTTCACTGGATACTTTTGACAACTTGTGCCTCTGGCACTGCATTGCTGTTTTCTCAGGGGGCACGCCCTGATCGGAGTAAACGAGAGAGCTTGCAAAGAGTTACTTCAAACTCAGTGCAATGCCAATCAACATCCCAAGAACTTCACTTGATGAGCTGGATAAGGTCGAAAGACATCTTAATCATGAATTACAGCTTTCAGATTGGTTACGCGTCAGAGTCTATGAGCCTGAGCGCCAGAAAAACAATGAGATTCTATGGCATCTCGGAAAGAATCCTTCTGACAAGCTGAAGAACATAACGACAATCTGAATTTATGATGGGCACGCATTTTTGATCAAATATACAAATAAACTGGCTAAAACATATGTATGCACCCTTGCCAAGCACGCTTCACACAAGCCTGTAATCTTCAGAGACACACAACAACATGTGCACAAGGAAGAACAATTATCGATTGCCCAAACGAGCATGTCAAAGTTCCGCAGAGAGCTTATGAGAGAGCTTTCTATGGCAAAGCCCATAGAACAAAAACTGACTTCTTGTAGTCTAGTAGAACAAATATTGCTTGACTTTTCTGTGTGTCAATCAATCAGTCAATCAATCAATCAATCAATCAATCAATCAATCAAGTTAATTTTTTTCAAATATGAATGCATGGGAGCCGACTAAAGAAACCTTTACAGGCTTTTATAAATATTTCCTCCCCCTTTAAACGACCTTAATTACAAATATCAAATAAGTGCCTGTTTACAAGGAGAGAGGGTTATCCTAGCAAGCAGATTACCCTAGCACTTGCACATTTACCCTTTTTTTCTTTGTAGTGTGTACAAGGCAGCCAGGGTTACCCGGGCAGGCGGGTTAACTTTTTGCCTTGTAACCACTCCTACTCTTTTCCACACCCTTCTCAGTGTAACCGCGCATGAAATTGTCCTGGGTTGTAGGGTTACCCTGCCTGTGAAATTTTGCTTGTAAATCGGGCTATCTTTTGCCATCCAGCTAGGGTTAGCCCGCTTGCTAGGGTAACTCCCTCCTTGTAAAATGGCCCTAAATTTGGTATCAGGGATAAGCAAGTAATGACAGCTGTGTATTACATTAGTACTAATTAAGTTGCAATAAGCAAAAATTACTCTGATGGTAAAAACTATTTAATCTGTTTTTTAAATATATTTATTGAGACAGACTGTTTTACTTCATGTGGAACAGTGTTCCATTTATCAATTACTTTTACAATGGTTATGAATTAGAGTGTTTTCTATACAGATATCGCTGAAATACAGTGGGAGTGATTTTGACCTAAGACTGAGACAGAAAGTGCTAACAAGAAAATCGCTCATTTGTTTAACATCTAATAAATTCAGTTTTTGAAAAAAGTGTACAGAAGGGATCTTTACATGATGAAAATGGCAAAGATGATTGGACAATGCATCATTGACTATCAACTCCACTTTTAAAAACACAGTTCTCTAACTGATGCAGAATTGGACAACGCTAATAAAAAAATAACAGTTATGTCAGTACGATTCTTCCATTGTCAGATTTGGGATTCCAATACTTGCATTACATTCATGTGAATACTGGTGAACACATATTGCTTTGGCAAAATTTATACGCGAGGCTGAATGCCAGCCCCTATAAAGTGGCCACTTGGCATTTACCCAATGACGGCTGCTAATTAGTGGTTCCTTATATTTCGTTTCTGCTATATGAATGGTTTACTTTACCCTACTGAACCTGGGCATGGTAATTCACAGTGTGAAGCATAACATCACATTTCTTTCATTGAAAATATGCAAATTGCCAACATTCATATCAAGCAACATGCAGAAAGTTCTAGGGACTAACAACCCACAGGCCATAGGTTTAACTCCCAATAACTATGGAAGAAACTCAGATATAATTTCTGGGTACTGGTACACCAATATTTCATTATGTAAGTTATATGCCTGTGGCACAAGCTGAAAAAACACTAAGACAGAATCCACCAGAAGTTTGAGCAACAAGTGGACAAAAACTTTGTACCAAGATTATTTACATATTGCAAACTTCTGTATGGCTGTTTTAAGTATCTTCTAAAAAACAAAACATTTTTAGCAACATCAAATGTTGAAAACAAATGTTGAACTTCATACAAAACAGTTGAAAGTACTGGTGAAATGAAACTGATGATGAAATTTTATCCACAGGAGTTAGCACAATCTCTCTGAACTTTGAAATTCATTTTCTCTCATTCCCATGGGAAATTGCTCTCGGTGTTATTTCAGGGCACTATTTATATCTTAAGTTAACAGAAAATGTAAAAAAGGTTAGTGATTTAAAATACTTAAAATTTTTCTGGTACCAGATTTTTGTCTACTAAAATCTGAAATTCCTCCATTTTTGATCGAATTAATTATTTTATCTCTAATATTTACACTAAAACACACATGATAAAACCTTGGGTAACAAATAACACCTGGTCAATTTAAGTCATGCCACTTTGTAAGCTCTAGGAAATAGCAATCAGCCTCATCTATAACATTTTGCCAAACCACTTATATTCACTGGAGTGCACATGAATCGAATGTAACACAAGCATTGCATTGGAATACCAAATACCTATGACAATGGAAGAATCGTACTTACATATCATCACCTAATTCTGTGTCGGTCAGAGAACTGTATTTTCGGGTATCTTTCAAGGTGGAGTTGATATTCACTGATACATCATCGGATCGATATTCGTTTGCTATACAAACACAGAAAAGTCAAGTAATATTTGTTCTGCAGTACGATGATTCTAGGAATATTTGCATTGAGTTGTCATCACCACCACCAACACGGTGTGTTACTAGCTAGTTATTAGATATCCAGTACCATTTCCGTTTTCATGAAAACGATCATTCACGCAATTCATGACAAATTCTATGCTGTAGCGTAGGTAGCTCTCCAAAGACTCCTTTTAAAGTTGGCGAAGAGCAACTTATGGAGAAATACTTTGTGTATAAGCGCATGGAATGAAGTAACAATTCATGTAATGTACATCGAATTATAGCTTCTCTGAGTGGATGAGTTAAAATGATGAAACGACATAACAAAATGATGAAACTCCATGACGAAACTACCAAAACAGCAAAACGACAAACGACGACAAACCAATGTGGTCAGTGATGAGTCGAACTCGTAAAACGATGAGTCGTTTGCACCATCAGTCGTAGCCATTGTGAAATCTCCAATGAAGTAATGTTCTTAATCTGGAACTTTCTTTGGGATATGTATGGGCATGAACAATACGAACACTACAATAATAACACTATTAAAAGTCACGATTAAATTTCATTGGTTTTTCAACAAGCAAAGGGCTAGCAAAGTAGTCACACAAGTCACATAATTCAAAGATTATGTTATCCACAGCTATCTTTAGTATGGTGCATATTTCCCTACCAATGATGTAATCCTTGCACGTTCTGACACGTTCTTTGCTTGGCTTGCAAATATCTAATTTTCCTTCCGATCTATGAACTCGCTGCGATGAAAGAGCCAAAGAATTTACTTCATTTGCCTAAAACCACAAGAAATACTCACACTTGCAAATAAATTAATGACCGTCGCTTCTAGCGAAATAAGCTTGCAAAGTAACATGATCTTATTTGTCACGTGACGAAAGTGAAAGATGCAATGTCATCGCATTCAACGGCTGATGTAATACCTTTTTTACCGTATTTATTATTCCCTTCAAATCCAACGCTTCAATAAAACCAAAAGAAAATATATTTTACCCACAACAAAGAAAAAAATATCAATAAAATTGTCCATGTATTAATGTTTCAACAGCTTTTGGCAAATAAATATCACACATTGCGTGATTCAAAATTTGGCTGAGAGGGAGTTTGGGTCTGGTCACCGACAAAATGAAAAAAAACAACAACAACATGAACTGCGCTCAGCCCATGGCCGTGTGGTTAACAAGTTTGAAAGATTATAAGAACGAGGCACAATTGGAAGTACAAACAAATAAACCCAATTCTGTGCTAAAAATAACAAGATCGGAACCAACCTCGAAAAACAAATTTCAGTTAGTCACGCTTTGGCCAGGTTGATTGGCACCGGGCCAACATTAGGTGTGTTAACTTATGTCAAAAAGCTAAACAGCCCATCCACTTACTTCATTCATTGTGATCTAATCAACAACACCAAAAACCTTTTAAATGGAAAAAAAATGGATGTTTTGGCTAAATTTGAAATGAAAGGCTTGCCTTGTGAAAAAGTAAGCTATCATCCTTCCCCACAAGAATTTTTGCATGACTGCTCAACAGGCGAGTTTATAAATAGCATTACTCTTAGCGTCAAAGATGAAGATGGCGAACTCTTTGATTTCAAGGGCTTGACTCTGGAATTTGAACTAGAAATAAATTAAATTCCTTGTCATACAACGTCGTCGGCAAATGTTTTGCCGTTCACTCCTCCTGAAGCTTCGCCACGGCCTGTCTTCTCCCAACTGCAGCACGACTTTCGGTTGCAGAAAATCAACGAGATATCAACCGCTCTGAACAACAAGGTCGCCCACTATCAAGTGGTTGCCAAAAAGTATAAAGAAGCAAAAAAAGTAGTTAACTGGAGTTCTGGCAACTCTAGTATTCTTTCAGCAGCATTTTCAAGCGCGAGCTCTGTCCATGGTTGGCCTGCCAGCCACAATTCCATTAGGTGGCGTTGGCGGCTGTTTCACTTTGATTTCTTCAGGTCTGATAATCGGTAGCAAAAAACTTGATTCAAAGATTAAGAAGCATCAAGAAATTGTCACGCATGCCATAGCAAAAAGTGAAACAGTTGACTGGCTTCTTTCCAAAGCATTGGCTGATAACCAGGTCTCTGAAGCGGAGTTCCAGTTAGTTATGACTGAATTTTCACAGTATAATGTTCTATGAGGGCTAAACTGACATGTCAGCCATCTCACCCCGGAGTTGAAAAAAATTTAATTAAAAAAGAAATCCAAAGCGAGATACAAAAAGAGTTTCAGAAAAAAATAAACACCCTTGCCGAAGGTTCGAATTAACATTTGAAAACACACGGTTTCATTTGCATATTAAAAAAACAAGATTGTCACTTTCCACTTAATTGCATTTCTTGTGAATGAATATTTGACACCAGAGTGGCAGAGCAATGCTCGCAATATTACTCGAGAAGTGGTTGAGTGCCTCAACGAACAATCATACAATTCCTCCTTGATTGAAAAAAGATTGTATTCCCAAAGGTGATGACATGACATGTCATGATTCCTATATTTAATGGTGAAACATTCTTATTGTTCTTTTGACCAATAAAAAAGCTGCCATTTTTGTGCCATCTGACAAAAAAAATGTGGCAGATTGTGCCATCTCGCTCATTACGTGGCAGATTTTGCCCTGTGGCTGAAAAAGTGGCAGATTTTGCCCACACAAAATTGACCTCTGCTTTATTTTCAGTGAACTTTCTCTAACCACTTGGCAGAAACCATGATGGAAAAGGTCAGAAACAAGAAAAGAGCCACAAACTAACCTCATATCCTCGTGAAATTCTGGCATTCGATCGATACTGGGCAAAACACAAATCAACTTATTTTTTGCTTTCTTCTGTCTGCATCACTCCGGCACTTCGTGTAGCATCAAAAAAGAGGCTGCACCCTCAATACTCATTAATTTTTGTAACATTGAGGCTGCGGCGCAATTTTAGCGTCAAAACTTGTCTGTAATGGCAGCTGACATAAATATAAAGACGCTTTGACCAAGAAGAGCTTGGCAAATAGACCGTGACCAAAACAATGTCACATGTGGTTTTTTTTTTTAGAAGAAATTCAGCAAGCTGCTGTGGATTCAATCATTTCATGGCCTCAACAATATCGTCTGGCAAAAATAATGATTTTTTATCATCTTTCGGAAAACCAAAATGCCATCACTGCTCTTCTCCCCTTTCTCTATTCTTGCGAATTTTGGATTTGTTTTGGCTTTGATCTATCAGCCCACTTCTACTGCATCCCCTACACAGGTAGCTCGCAAATATTCAAATCGATATAGACTGCCCTCCTCTTTTGTTCTGGGCACCCGTTTTTTTCACTATAAATTGTCGTTTTGCTTAACATTTTGCCGCATTCTGGACATTCTTCTTTTGGAATTTTTTGTTTCTAACCTTTTACAATGGTATTTTCTATGTTTGTGAACACTGTGACATTGCATGAACATTTTCCTGCAGGCTTCACAGTGATAATCATGTAAAGACCAAATGCTTGGTGACTTTTTAAACATTTTACCGTCAATAGAAAGATATTTTTTTTCTCCCTCCTCTTCACAGCATGTCCGTCCTTCGTGGTTTATTGCTTCAGCGATGCTTTTTTAACAGATTCTCTTTGATTCCCGTTTACGTGTATAATTTCCGCAAATGTTTGAAAGAGAATTTTGCACTGCGTGTGACTCGAGTAGTAGGTGGTGAATTGAATAGATACTGGGAAATTATGTTCACTTAAGCCCAGCTTGCCAGCAAAGCTTCTGAGCCAGCGAGGTGCGCTTAAGTACTTGTAATTTGCTGGTATCTATTCAATTCATCACCTACTACTATATAATAATTATATGGCATAATTATGTGAAAGTTTGTGAATCAATTCTAAGTGAGGTTTAACTAAGTGCAGTGTATAGAATATCATGTACATGTAGTTATTGGAAATGGTTCTTCAAAATATTTTACATTCATGTGTCCTGTAAATTGAACAAACATACTACTTGAGTTAAAGAACAGTAGCTGTTATAATGAAGAACAATTGAGTGATCTGAATGAATCTATTCATTAATGAAGTGATTATTGAGATTACTTCAATCTTTTGCTTGACTTGGCACCCATCATTGTGTGATCTATTTCTGCCTTCTTTGTCTGGATTGTTTTCTTAATGGCTGTGGCATCCTAGACACAACAACAAAGAAAGCTATCAGTAATCACAAATTCTGAAACCAGGAAAAACATACCTGTATCACTTGATTTTAAATACCACGATTAAGGCAACAAAAGCACCACAGGGACTTAAAAGCTGCCATTGTTTTTTTTTTTTTTTTTGGTGATGATGATAATGATGATGATATTAAGCAACTTCTGGGTTGCTATAACTTCAAATAACCACTCCTAAAGTGTGACTAAACCATTCATTGTTTGTAAAACACAAATTTTAAATTTAAGTTATCTTGGTGGATATACTGTATAACTGTTGAAGTTAATGGGGTAATTAAAATTAAATATTGTTTTATATTTTACTAGAGTGCAAAGTCCAAGTTTAAAATTGGAGCAAACCAGGCAATAACACTGCTTTAGTCACTGCATTAAATTACACAGATATTAAATAAATATTCTTTATGGCAATTATTCCGTTTATCACTCAAACCTTATAGACTTGGGACCCTGGCTCATTAAAGGCATGGGCATTCTTCACCATTAGCAATAAATCTTTTTCAGCATCTTCCAAGGACAAGTACTGGTTATTCTAAGAACAACATGGTGTTGAATAAGGTTGAGCATGATAGCATGAATGGTCAAAGGGAGCTTTTTTGCTAATGGCTGAAGTCAAAAGCTTCTCTTGTCATTGTTGTTATATATTAGGCATTGTACCTTCCACTGGTCTAATTGCTGTTCCGAATCATGTTGCTCAAAAGAATCATCTACATCTCAGTAATTGCAATCAGCTGAAGCTGATACCGTGATAATATTATTGTAGGTCCTCACCCTTCATTATTCTGGATATCACAAAAAATCTCAACAAATAACTGTTGTTATTCACTCAAACCTGTTTTAAGTAGATAATGTTAGAATTCTGAGCCTGTCTCCAGTTATTAGAGGTTTAACTTTAAATATTTTGTTCCAAAGAACCTAGAAACATATTAAACTTCATACAAATAATTAGTGGTAAAATTTAAAAACGATCTCTGGCAGAAACGATTAAAAACTTACATGCTTTTGACTGCCTGAACTACAGTCTTTGACAGGCAAAATGGGAATGACAAGAAGCTTTCAACACCAGAAAAAAAAAACATTTCAGGAATGTAAAAACAGCAGCCAAAGCCTCGAGGATTGCAAATCATGCCTGGTCACACAATCACGCTATTGACTTTGAAAATGCTTCTATCATTGATAGAGGTGGTTTTAGAACAAGAAGGACGCTGGAAGCATGGCATACCAAACTGACTCCCAATGCAGACAACAATTCGTGTCCACTACCTGGACAATATAGCATTCTTTTTAATAAGCATTCAAAATAATTATTCACATTTTTATTATTTCACAGTTTCACACATTGTTATTCATTTTTTTTCTTTTTCTTGGCTTCTCATCATTCACATTTTAACCGTCAAAGACTATAGTTCAGGCAGTCAAAAGCTTGTAATTTTTTAATCGTTTTTAAAATTTTACCATCTTTTATCACGACTGCGGCCCTTCAGTATTTTCACAAATAATTATTGTTAGTCAAACCAATTTTGTCTTAATGCTAAATGGAGACAGCATTCATTGATTGGTGGTGACACAGTTTGCCAGCACGTTTCTAAACACCTCAAAGTTCTTCAAAATGTCTCTGCTGAATCTTTCCTGTGATTGGGTATGTGATAAACTTGTTTTAATTTTATTTGTTTATTTGTTTGTTTGTTTTATGAAGTAAATGTACATGAAGATATAACTTACCCTGAGCTTGGTGCAAATTGTTTTTAAGTCTATAGGTTCCTTAATGATTTCATAGTATTCTGGATAAAGCTGTTGAGAAAGAAATTACAAGTAACAAGTTGAAAAAGTTGCAGGTGATCAATGGACACATGAAAAATAATGTTTATTTAAACATGTCTTAAAGTTTAACGATTGTGGTGTTGGGTGTACAATCAAATACTAGTAAATACTCTGAACAATTAAATATGTTTAATGTAGAGTGGGCTCTAGTCTTCATAAATGCACTGAATTATCTTTAAAAAATGTTCACTAATAGAGCAGCCTAACAGTTTTTCTTTGAGAAATTTGTCATGTTCTTAGCTATCAAGCTATACCGTGCCCGGAATAGGACTGTGTTTCAGGTTTTTTTTGTTAGTACGCTGGAATAACGTACCAGTTAAGTGACATTCTCTCGAGCGAAATAAGCAGTTTTACTGAAACTAAAGTTTGAGAGACAACAGTGCAGTGAAAAGCTCGATGAAATTGATGCAAGAAGCATAAGAAAGTCTCTCTAAGACAGACTCATAGCTTTCAACNAAAAAAACGAGAACGTCGGTCCTAAAGTGGGCAGCATTTGTATCAAGCAGTTACTTCATATATGTTATTGAACTAGTTTGAGGTCTGTAAAAGAAAAATATTGCTTGAGTTCTTTTTTGCAAGCTTAATGCATAGACTTGCAAACAAAAGAACAAGACCAATATTCTCCAATAAGGACCAAACAAGCTAGTTCATTAAAGTATTTATTATAATGGCTCTTTTTAATCTGCTGATAAATTGATGCATCTTCACAATCCATCCTCAGTAGACACACACCCAAAAGATAAGCTTTTATTTACATTTCTCACATTAATGTTTTAGTGTACATTTAACTGAAATTGTAATAATCGCACTGCTGAATAATCAGTGACACGAGTAATCAATAGGCCACATTGGTCATCAATTACCCACTGATCATTGTCAATACTTAATGAGAAATCAACTGATTACCTTTTGATTACTCATCGAGGTCACTGATCATTGATAAGTTATGTCTGGTTTTAAGTGAAGAAACCACAACACAATGAAGTCAGGGGAGGACATAAATGGAACACACTTGAACAGTGAAAACTTGAACAGTGCTCCACGAGCAAAGAGCTACTTGATGACAAGAGTAATTTTGTTGTCCTAAAGTTTGTGTCTCATTATTTTGCTAGCCCCTCAGATCACAATCTTAAATTTGGATAGAACATTGATGGCAGATAACATTTGAAAACTTCAAGTTTATTCGGCTAAGGAATTGTAAGACATTTTATTTGGTATAGATCATTTTCATGTGAAATCCAAAACAAAAGGGCCACAAAAGTTTTTATCCTCATCAGGCATCATCATCATCAGTTCTCGAGGCACCAGCAGGTGCATGAGGCCCTCATCAGGCATAAGGGGATCTAAATTTATATCTGTTAACAACTATTCAGCTCAATAGCATGTTTAGTTTGGAAACCAGCGTATTTTGAAATTCGGAGTTATGGCGGTGCGTGACATAAAGCTACGATCATGTTTGCTAAAAAATATACACTTATCTGAGTCATGATTTTAACCATGTTAGGAATTGAAGTATTAGAAAAAGTGCTTGTGTCAATGTTTGTTGGTTCAGTTCAGATAATCAGTCAACTAGATAGCCAAAGTAAGTTCCAGATATTTCCAATATTTTCCAGCCAACATATTGGTGGACCATACTGGACTCTGTAAATTTGCGCAAAACATTTCAACGAATATTTGGGAAAACGCAGAAACCTAAAACTTGGAGAAGTGTCCTCTTTACTTATATCCTGTAACATTACAATTTCTTGACTTTATCCACTGAATAGTTTTTAATTTATTTTTTTGTTGCATGACAGTGAAAACGATCTATACTAACAATACTCACACTCTCGGGCGGTAATTTTTTGAAAAGATGGCAGATAACACGTCCATGGCTGTCTTTCATTTCCAACACTGCACTTACAAGTTCCCCGCAGTACACAAGAATATTTGCAGAAGAGTCACCTTCTTCATCATCTCGTGTGGATGTAGATTCATTATCATCATCATCTAAAAAATACAGAAGTTGACACCACAAGTTGCTTTTAATGAGATAGTCAACTGCATTCCTTAAGCAATAGATAAATGCGTGATTGTATAACTAAATGGCTTTATTTAAGTTTTGATGTATGTTGCACCACTATGGTAACTCAGTAGAATTACAGCACTGGAAGTAGAGAAGCAATATTTTGAAATAGAACAAAACCATGTCACTTAACAATCCTAATGGGTTGAAACTGACCAACCGACTATTTCTAATGCACAGCCAAAGAGAGAATGAGAGATGCTGTGGGAACATAAGCCAAAAGCATTTCCAAAGCTTTCTCCAGTTCTCCCAAATTCTCAAGGGTGTTCTATTTAACAATTAGACTATGGGTTTAAGATTTATATTCAACAATTAGATTATGAACTTGAGATTTCTAATAAATGATAGTTAATGAGGGAGTAGCCCAAGTCAACTACCTTAGAATTGGAAAAGTTATTACCTCCCCCTCCCACAAAAAAAAATCAAAGGCCCTTTGGACTGTCTTGTGTTGTTAATGCTGCTGTGTTGAATCAAGAAAATCGATAAATTATAAAAAATCAATTGAAATTAATAAATTGCACCAGAATTTATAAAGTGATACTCTGTGAGTATTTATTTTTGAATTAATCTTATTGATTTCATTGAAGTTATCAATTTTATTGGTGCAAAATGTCTCCAATTATTGTAGGGCAGTGAAACATCAGAAAATGAACAGATTTACTCTGGTTCAGTTCCTTTAGGATTATCCGTATCAGGATCAGTGATCCGAAATCACTAGGATCACAGTGCCTCTGAAGAAGCAGTTTTTTAGTTGTGGATATGCGAAACATATAAACAACTATCAAAATTTAAGGAATCAGTAAAAAGCAATCTTGATAAAGATTATTAGTTACATGATCAGTTATCTGTATTCAAATCACTTTAAACTGCAGTTGTGTCATTTCCCTGATGATCTGGTAAATTAGTATTTCATTAAATTGTCTCACTTTTCTAAGCCTTTTATATGATATGTTAATGTATATAATGTTATTGTGTGTTATTAGTTGTGATAGCTATAAAATTGTGTGCTTCTCTTAAAGATGTATTAATATTTTATACTTTTATATAAATTTAAGTATTTCAGACTTCCCTTGTAGTTAAGTTGTAGCTGTAAGTGCCTATGGAGGAGACAATCAGTCTAAAAAGAGGAACAGTTGATCTAGAATCTTTGACCATATAAAGCATAATTATAATCTTGCTGGTTGAGAACCAGTGCCAAAAAAAAAAAAACAGTATGTACCAGACCATTTTTCTTAAGCCTACGTAAATACCTTAGTAAGTGACTTCCCCTGCATAATGTTAAATTAGATTGCAATTTCTTAAATTTAGAGTCAAGTTACTAAACAAATCACTAATTGCATTATATTAGACTACCTTATCAAGCACTACAATGCCATTACCTTTATCAGGTCTTAGGATAATGATGTCTCTTTTATTTCAGTTTCTTCAGTATTTTAAGTTTCTTTAAGTCAAGTATTTAGTGACGTGTTTGCCAAATGCTGGATTTCACTTCTTACTTCATTGGCTTTGCTCTTGTCTGAGAGATGTCTTTAAAGATCTTGGTGAAGAAGTTCAAATGTTGTGAAAATGTGACTGTTTCGATGCCATGGTTTAAAGGACTAGTGAGACAATCTCAGATAGTGCAGAGTGTAATGCATAGCTAGAACGCAGTACTTGACACAGTTCCTATATAACCCCTGCCATTCACTCCTGGTTTGTACTGACCTCGCTAGTAAGCTAGGGATTTTGATGAGTCGTAATCTTAGCAGTGTGTATGTTTGATGTGTGTATTTTCATTCACAGTCCAAGAATAAGTGATGTTAATATTGTTAATATAGTTTAATGTAGCCGGCACGTGCTAGCATCATATTACATTGTACATTCGCTTATCACTGTTTTAGTTCGATCGTTCAGCTGTTTGTGTTTTACTGCTCTCTTCGACTTGTAACTGTGCGTTTCAACCAATGTCTTCGAAAAACAAATCCAAACGCAAGAATAAGTGCTCCGGTTGGGGAACACCGAAAGATCAACATGATTTTGCAGCCATGGGAAAATACTGCGAAGGACCCGAAGAACGAAATCCTGATAGCGACGGCAACATGGATGAAAAGTCGCCCGTCGGAGAGGAGAAAACACTCGCTCCTGATCCTGGCAATAAGCAAAACGCCTTGCTCCAAGCCATACGAACTTTGTCGAGCCAAGTTGAAGCCCTGCAGCTCAAGCAGCAAACACTACATGACACTGTAACAGAATTGAAAACAACCAAGGATAAAATTGGGGTGGTGCCTCAACACACAAACCATCCGCTTGCGCCGACAACAATGACAATAACTCCTCCATTCAGAAGGAACAGCAACCTTCATCTGGCCCACACAGTGGCTCTGGCCAACCAATTTCAGGTACCGTACTTAAAGCCGTAAAAGCTGGCGCTTATGCTGATTTTCTCAATCTCCTTCCACCATGTGGCGATGTTATCTCTGGAACCGGCGATCGGAAAGCAAGCATGACACAGAATGTAACTATCGAATCGTTCAACTCGTGGCTCAAAGCGTGGGGCGTTTATGAGGTGCTCGTGATGGATGTCACACCACTTCGCTACAAGGAACTTGCCCGCTGTCAGGACGTGATTCAAAAAGCGAATAGGAAATTCATGTGGAGCGCCGTTTACAATTATGACGTTCAATTTTGCCTCAGCTTAACTCTAAATACCTCTGCACACTTCAACACCGTTAACACGACGTTGTACACGACAATCCTCGACTCGTCCGCTGTCAGGAAGGAAGGCGTCTCTTGCCAGCGTTGTAAATCACCAAATCATTTGTGGTTTACAAGCAACAGCAAAGAAGGCTGCAACTTGTTCCAGCGCAATTCTTGCCAACAAGGAACTGAGTGCAAGTGTGCCCACGTTTGCAAGGCTTTGCGGGAGGAGCACTCTCTGGCCGATTGTAAATATGTTACCGGACATTAATTCACACTTCAATATTGATACCTGGATGGACTGCTTATCACGCTACCCTGATCAAACGCTTGCAAATGATTTATTACACAACATTTGTTCTGGAGTAAACATCGGTTTCTCCGGAAACCGTTCCAGTCAGATCTATGATAACCATTTACCAGCAACAACAAACCCCAAGGCGGTGGCAAGAGAGCTGGAACGCAAACTCTCTCTTAATCGTAAGATTGGTCCTTACACCGCCCTTTGCTAACTTTGTCGGATTGCTGATGGGAGCTATTCCTAAAAAGCGCTCGATGCCCACAAAATGGCGCATAATTCACGATTTATCATGGCCCACCACTCACTCTGTCAACGATGGCATTCCCAAAGAACTGTTTTCCTGTACCTATGACACACTTGACCGCGCGATTTCACAACTTAAACTCCGTGGACAAGGCGCATTAATGAGTAAACTCGATTTATCTGATGCCTTTCGTCACATTTTAGTGCGTCGCGAAGACTGGGAGCTCCTTGGCTCCACATGGCAAATTGATATTAATGGCACACCCACCACTGCTTACTTTGTCGATGCCTTTTTGCCGTTCGGATTGCGCAGCTCGCCCGCGCTCTTCCTCAAGTACGTGGATATCTTATCGTTCACCATGCACAACCGTGGGGCCAGCCCCATTTGGAACTATCTGGACGACTTCTGGACCTGCGGTCCCCCTGCCCCAGACCCCCTCTGCCAAACCAATTTAGATGTCATGCATGCAAAGACTGTTGTGCCATGTACTACCCTGGAACTACTGGGTATCGAACTCGATAGCATTACTCAAGAGGCGCGCATTTCACAGACCCGTCTGGATGAGACTCTCAATTTACTTCAGATGTGGCAAACCAAAGCCTCCTGCACAAAGAGACAGCTCCAGTCCCTCATTGGAAAACTCAACTTCATCTGCTCAGTATGCAGACCAGGTAGAACGTTTCTTCGTCAAATGATCAAACTTCTGTCAAAAGGGTCTCACCTGAGCCATCATATCCATCTTACTAAGCGGTTCTTCAAAGACATTGAATGGTGGCTGTCATTTCTCTGATTGGAATGGTCGCAGTTTGTTCTATGATGAACAGTGGCTCAGTAACATGTGCCTACACCTGTTTACTGATGCCTGTGCTGAGTCCTTTGGAGCCTTATTTGGCACCGCTTGGCTCTGTGCAACACTTCATGTCAGTATCCCCAGTCGTCGCTCCATAATGTACAAAGAACTTTACGCCATCACCATGGCCATGACAGTGTGGGCCCCCTCCCTTAGCCTCACAAAGTTCTTTGTTGCATTGTGACAATCAATCAGTCGTGCGCATTCTGACCTTCCGTTCCAGCAAATGTCGCCACATTATGTCCCTTACACATTATCTTTTCTTCATCTGCGCCAAGTTTAACATTGTTTTGAAGGCTGTACACATCCCTGGGATACTAAATTCTGCTTCTGATGCCTTATCTTGATTACAGGTCCAACGCTTTCGCAAGTTGGTGCCCGACGCAGACCTCCTACCTACACCAGTCTTTCCGCTGAACTTGGCCGACAATACCCATCGCACATACAGTTCCGCACAACGCCAGTACCTCACATTCTGCAAAACACATGACTTCACTGCCGTTCCAGCATCCGAAGAAACACTCTCCTTGTTTGTGGCCTTCTTAGCCGACCATTTAAAACCACAATCTATTAAAGTGTACCTTGCCGGCGTATGTGTGCTACACATCAGTCACGGATTTCATAATCCTCTTACTCACACTATTAAGCTACAACAAACATTGAGAGGAATTGAACGCGTACACTCCAGTCTACCCAAGCAGAAATTACTGATAACCTTTGACCTTCTGTGTCACCTACAATATTTCATCGAGCTGCACCCCAAAGACGATACAGTTTACTGGGCAGCTGTGACCACCGCCCACTTTCTGCTCCTACGCGCGGGAGAATTTACCGTCACAAGCAAAACTTCTTA